TTTTTTATGCTTTGAAAACATAATCGTTTAAATAAGAAAGTGGCATCGCAAGGCAATGGGTGCATCTTTCCACTCTGTTTAGTGTCATCAGAGAAACTAAGAAGCAGTTTAAGGAACTTGATATTTAACTTGAGGCTCAGCATTAAGCTAGGACGTTTAAAAATCTTCTCACATTTCTTAAAGGTGGTTCATCTTGCACTGAGACTCCTCTAAAGAATATATGAAGAAAACCAACTTTTCTAAACAAGACATGAAAGTTAACATCTTGTGTATTTTCATTATAGTATAATATATATAACGATTTCAATGAAAAGAAAGGACAGGATCATCTGTAATTATGTAATTCATGATTGTAACAGCACTGAAGTTACCATGTACACACATGTACAGTAGCTATTTCAACAGTTACAGTGTAGTTACATGTACTTCCATGTAACATAGCAGTTATAGTGTAATTTAGTGCCACTTATTGTAAAGTGTTACCAAAAGGAAAATGGAATTCTTACCTTTACTAGTCCATTCAAACTAAAGGTAAGTTTATTAAATTAACATCACAAATCTGATATTCCATTTCTTTATTAAGGTGACGTAAAACTTCATGTTCACACTGCAGCTTTCCCCGACACCTACCTAGATTCTTCCAGCTGTCCAATCTCCTCATTCCTAGGAAATGGTAATCTATGATGAACATACCAAAAATTCAGCTGCTTCAACTTCAATTGAATAAGCTGTCTAATACAAAAAAACTGAGTAATGCTTTTTATTAAGTGGCACAAAGTACACACTAAAAACTATGCAAAAATATAGGTAAATACAGTGTACTTACATGTAAGTATCTTGTACTTGCTGTGTATGGATATTGGAAACCCATGTAATTATAATATGCATTTTGATTATTTCAAAAAGCTAGAGTGCCCCTAGCAGTTACATGAATTAACAGTACACTTACATGCAGTAATTGCCCTAGTGCAATATGTATAATTCCTTGCCTTGTACTTATATTTAATTCGTAATAATCCCTATTTTTCTCCTCTTCCTCACTAGTTCTGCCTTCCTTTCTCTTTGGGTCCCATAAGACTCCACTGAAGCACCTTTAGGGCAAAATGAGACTTCAACTTTGCTAATGGCTTCACTGTTAGCATGCTAGAAGTCTGGCAACCTTGTTCAGAAATCTATTTCTGGCTCAGCGGCACAAGCTTTCTTCTTTGTCCTGTCCTTGAGGGAACCTAACATGCTAAGATGCTGAAATGTACTGCCATATGCCCTCGTATTTTTAGCATGAACAACAGAGAAACAGACAGAGGTGTGTTCTTCTGACCCCTATTTTGTTGACCCTTTTCACTGGGAATTTCTACTATTTCTTTCACAATAATGTCAGGTAATCTTAAATTGCAGCCATGAAATGCTTCTATTGAGGAAGAGAGGCTGCCTTTAATGAAAAAGTTGACTCTTTCTAAACATAAAATTATATGCTGTCGATCTTTTTCTTCTTGTCATTTTTTTATTGTGCCCTTCCAAATTTAATGAAAGTGAGATCACACAAAACTGCAAAAGAAGAAAATGAATATTGCTAGATGGAAGAGTGTAAAACTTGAGTGAGTGTTATTTATTATATCCCTCTCATGCTTGCACACTATTGTGATTAATATACATGTTTAACAACTGCTGTTGGCTTAATGACATGTTATATAATTCCTGCAATGTTTCATATACCACTTTCTTGAAATACGGGCTATAAAATGTCTCTAGGCACATTATAACAACATCTCTGCCCCTAAATGGAATAATTATAAAAGTGTATTTGTAAATCAGAAAAACATCTTCCCTGTGTTCATGGATCTTTCCTCTGATTTTTACTGTCTCCTGATATAGATTGTTCTGCAAACTAATATTATAATAGAGAACTCTACCCTCAGCTAGTGTAAATCAATTTAGTTCTATTGCCATCAGTTCAGACCAGCTTGACTGGTGTGGGATCCATCCCATACACTTTAAAAGCACAAAGTTAGTATCAGTTCAACACCAAGAATCATCCTATACAATTCATCTGGAATATGACTGTTTTCATTAAAAAGGATCCACGTTTGTAATGTCAGTTTTAAAATCATAAGCAAGCTTTTAAATTAAATATGTAATAGAAATGCAATCAAAATATTCTAACCTGTGATTTTACACACACACACACACACACACATGCACACACACACACTTCCATGTAAATGAAAATGTACATGGAAAGTCTTCAGTTCAAACTTTAAACAAATAAACAAGTAATGCTGCAGCTTTTCATGTCAATGCATGAAAGATTTTGTCTGAAACTACTTTTACCACCAAGTTTTCCTACATGACTGTTCAGGGAAATCCTGATCTAACGACCATTGAAGTCAGATGGAGTCATCTGAATGACCTAAATGGAAACTAGAACAAAGACATGCTGCTGTTTAAATACCTCACCATATATCCTGAGGTTGGTGCAACTCGCACAGAGTCAGGAGTACAAATACGGTTCCCTCTCCAGTCTAGCATTGCTGTAATAAATAGGAGCTGCCAGTGGCTCCCAAGAGGGTTTGGTTAAACCATTAGGAATAACCATGTTACCCAATTATGCCCATTTTTCCCTGAAATGCCTGCTGCATTGCAGATAGACAGTGGTAAGTACTAAAGTTAATATAACTTATAGCACATGGGGATTTCCCAGGTGCAGTGGGGAGTCTCCCTGCAACAGGTTAAAGCAGCTGCATTCCTTCTGTGTACAGCCACAGATCTAGCCTATGTAACATACTTTTTACTTTGTTAAAAAGTATAGCCCAACTAGAAAGAAGATTGAAAAAAAGTCGTTCCCAATGAACCTTCTATGTTAGGAAAGAAAAGTTAAAGGATTTAAAAAAAATATTTCTGGTATGAAATCTAAACCTGCTGGGGGTCAGCCCTTAAGCCAGTGATTCTCAACCAGGGTGTTGAAGCACCCTGGGGTGCCTTGAACTCCTTTGGTACCATGGGATGCCATATAACATTAGCAATCTTAGGTGCAAACATGTTTCATAAGACATACCCCAAGATTTCAAATAAGAATCCACAAGGTAAAAAACATGTTGACCTGTTGTTTCCTTTCTGAGTTCTTTGCAACAGCAAAATTGGTCTATTATTTTTCTGTAGTCAAAAAAAGGTAAAAACTAAGAGCTGGCATTTTCTCAGGAGTGTCTCGAGTCTCACTGGGGTGTCTTGATTATATAAAAGCTGAGAACCACAGCTTTAAGCACTTTCCCTGTATGTGGCGTCCAGCAGTGATTTCTGAGAGCTCTAATCTTGTATATCACTATGGCGCTGTTGTTACTGCGCTGTCATTTAGTGCTTCCTTTTGGAAATACTAAATGATGGCACAGTAACAGCCCATACAGCACCATGCATGCCATGCATGGTTGTTTTTAGGCACTATGTTGCTATAGCAATGTGCTATAGCCAAGCATGTAGCTATGATGACGTAGCTGTGGTGTCATGGTTTTTGCCTGCAGACTCTATGTTGCCATAGCACATTGCTACAGCAACGTAGCTTCATGTGTAGATGTGCCCAGTGCAAACTACATGTAGCCTTATCCTGCCTTTGCACACAGGATTTATTTTTTTCTAAATGATTAGAGGTTTCTATTTTTCATCTGGCTTTACAAGAAAGGAGAGAATATTTGTATTAAATTAAAAAAGAGTTTCCAAAGAACATTTTGTTTGGTTAAAAAGAAATGATGCCCACAAACTGTTTATTTTGGTTCCAAAGGAACCAACCAAAGGAGATATTTTATGTTTGGACTGGATTACTGTTCCATCCTCCTGCTCCTTCCTCCTTTCTATTTATATTGAATCATGATAGTAAATATGTGTGTGCATATTTAAGTCCTTATTAAATGTAAATAGATTTCCACATGTCACTATGTAGTTTCTATAGAAATATGCAGATATACTATAAAATGTTCTACTTTTATCTACTGAATGTAGCTCAGCAGAGTTTGAGAGCTGAACTTGTAGGCTTTTTAAGTCATAGATGTCCTCCTTTGACAAATACAACATTCCTCTTGGTTTAAGTGGAGCTAAAATCAGGTCCTTAATGCAAATGTTTACACCGTATAATGTATTCTTTGTGCATCCTTTACTTTCAGTCTAGATATTTCATAACAACAAAACACCTTCAGTACTGCAGGAAGTTTCTAGAATAAATAACACACAATTTGTGAAAAGATTATATCAACAACCTCTGCTGGCACACTGTATAAATGTAACCTTATAGGAACTCCTCTGTGCTCTGGTCTTAGACTTGTAATTCATGACATTTGGAAGTGTTCGTCTCTGCTTGGAAAAAAATAAAATAAAACTGCTGTAAGTAAAATCAACTGGAATTAAATATATTGCACTGATGATTGAACCATGTTTATTTAATTTAATTTTCTCATGAATAAGCAAACAAAATGCATATTGTAATATTAGGTACATGACACTTGCATGTTGCTATGCCTATATACTTACAAAGTATTCAATGTGTACTTAGTGGCGCTTAAGAAATGTCATGTACAATTCTTATAAACATTCTTACAGGGTTCCCATTTGCACTTCATCTTTCAGAAAAGTCTTGTCAGAAACATGTCTGATGAATATTATTGAAAGAAATAAAATTTCAATTTTAGTTATCTGGTGGATATTACTGAATTGTCTATTCATTTAATGTATTTTCTGTCTGCCAGTTTGGTGGCAAATTTGATTCAGATCCATGGCTGTTTATAAAGACTATTCACAAGCGTTATTTTACTTTAGATTTCTTGTTTTAACAGAGAACTGGTGTACATTGAAATACTACTTTGCTGCTATCAAACAATTAAAACAGTTACTTCAAAAAATAATTAATGGTATCCTAGAATTGTACAAATTATTAGTATGAACTAAAAAAAACAAATATTCTGTGTAACTTTTTACAGTCTCTGTGCTGTGTATTGCTATCCAGTTCCATTTGACTGGTGACTTGAATGACATACATTTTGGAAAATATCCTTAAAGTAGGTGAAATTTATCCTCATGTAAAGGTCAAGCTAAAAGTCAATATCATACTTAACAACCTCTAACTTCTCTGAAACTGGGTTTTTGTAGGGTGTAAATTGTGTGTTGACCTTGAGCTAGATCTTTGCAAGGGAAAAAGAAGATTCGGGGGACAGTTCTCTGCACCTGTTATGCTGCTTAAATTTGTTTGGTCCAGGGCCAGATTGTCATTTAGCCCAAGCATACTGGACAGCAATGGAGGCAGACCAGGGCGGAGATCACAAGATCTGTATTTGTGCAGAAGGGAAGAGGGCTAGTGGACAGAAAGAAAGCAATGTTTTTTCCTGTCCTTTTGCTAATGCCATTTCCCATCTGCTGACAGCAGAATCCATCCATCATTCTGCCGAGTCAAAACCAAACCCAGGTACTCTGAATGCTATTGCAGTGCAAAGTTCTTTTGAAGTCAGTGGGAGTTTTACTGGAGTAAAGAACATGTCATCTCATTGTAGTGTAGTACTTGGACTAGTGCACTCACGAACAGGTACAGTATTTATCCAAATTTTGCAGGGATGTGGGGGTGTACACCACCATTTACTGTAGTTCATTTCTTAAAAGTTCAGTTACATTTTACTATTTCTGTTCATTCAATCAAAATAGCTAACCTTAGGTAATAGAAAATGTAGAATAAAGTACTTTCTAAATATAAAAGTAGTAATTACATGGTATTTCAAGTGATGCTTAAGACCATATAATGCTGATTTTTTTGCATAAAACATGCTGATGTTCTGTAGCATATTTTAGAAGTGTTATGCATTGCAACTATGTTCCTGCTTTTCTGTTCTTCAAACTATAATTTTTGTATCACTCTTTATTTTCCCTTTCATCAATTATGAACCCAACATTGCCACTAACATAATTGCATATAGCAGTTAGCTTTCTCTTGTCATGTAAAATGTATCTTTCACAATGATCAATTAAAGCTGGAATTTTTCCCTATCATGTTTGATTCCAAACACATTTCCCTTAATTCTGACTTCTCATGTTTTGTGTGTATACACATAAATGTATATACACACAAAATATGAGGAATTAGGAAAAAAAGAAACGACTCTGTGTCTTCCAGTCAGCACAACAATATACATAATCTAGCTGATTTTAAATCAGTGTCTTTGGTATTATATTGCAGAGATTTGCCAGGCATGTATTCTGTACAAATATTGGGTGGGGTTTTTTACCTATGCATATTCTTCTTTATAGGATTAAGTTTGCTGAAGATCTTGGGAGATGTGTGGACGCACTAAAATTAATACAGTAAAATTACAGTGTTTACAATTTTGTTTCAGATAAACTCGCTCTCTTCTGTTTTCATATCTGCATGTACCTCAAGAACATTTTTCCACAAAATTGGACCTAGAAGAGTACCATCTTACATGAACTTAAAGTTATACAAGGGTAGTAGGTTATACTTTTGTGGACTTTCAGGAGTAGTCTCAATCCCTTTCAGTGACAGTTATTCTACAGTGCCTTATAGACACATATATCCTGCAAGGTTGCATGTGATCCTATGGGCTTTGCTAATACATGCTTTGCAAGACATAAGTCTAGAAATGCCCAGTCTTGAACTCTGTACCAATATCTAGTACAAGATCCTGGATTTTGTCTTAAATTACGATGGTACTTGGAGACCATAGAACAATGGACCAAACCAATGGGAAAAAGATCAATTTGTAGCCTTCCAGTGAAAGAAATAACTAAGAATTCCTACCATGCAAAGCATCTTAACAATATCCATCCTTTGATTTCGCAGTCAACCTCTCTTGTTCTTATGATTTCTCTAGAATAGTTATTTTCTCTGGTAGGTCAGGCAAAGTTGACAGAACCCATTTTCCTCATTGTGATGGAAGGTTATTGAAAAAAGATTGTTTGCCATCTCTTTATTAAATATCCAGCTCTCTTCTTCTCACTTGATAAATGGAAATGCTCTTATATGTAGAAATGTTGAGGGAATGCAAAGTTGAACCAAAATTTATTGGATGCTAAATCTAGAGGATAATATACCAGAATACCAGCAAGAAAAATGTTTTATTGGTGTTAGTTTGGTGAGTCTTCACAATGTTATCTTTATCTATAAGAAAAATATAATCATTTTCAGTCAGCATGCAGGGCTGTAGAGTATCATTAACTTCAGATTGTAAGGGATTGTCCAGAATTACCCTCAAACTATCTGTAGTGCAAAATATTTCTTAGCCTTCAAAGTTCGATGGTTTTCTTATTCATTTCACTGTCCTGACAATGCTCTGTATGCTGCCCACGTGTAGTACAATCCAGAGTATCAGTAGTTGAAAAGTTTAGGAGTTTGAGAACATACTGTAATTTTATGTCAATATCCTGTTGAACAATTGTGTTCCCTTGCAAATTAAATGGCATAAAGGATGACTTACAAATTATTAGCTCTTGTGCACTTTCTTTTACCAGAAGTGAGAGCTATCGTTAACTCTTTTCCATGAGTCTCAAGTAAATGTTCACAACCTTCAACACCACAATGCAAAACTAAGTTTTACTCTGTCATGCGAAATGGTTTCTGGTAAAATAAAAAAGTGCTTTTGCAAAGAGATTTCCATTATTACACAGAGCATAGTGAGAACAAATAAAAGTTAAGAATGTGCTGTGATGATTCAGGAACACTGCAAGAAGTATCTCAAAGAATGCACAAAGCTTTTACCACTACTCCACCTATCCCCCGTACAATTCCCCCTCTCCATTATTCACCCCATAAAAGAACAGAGGCAAGAAATAGAACCATGTTCTTGTAATATTAGTAGTTTGTTTATAGCTCTTGCTAAAACAATACAATTAAATGACAATAAAACTACACACACAATACTTTTACATAATGTATGCTTTTGGCTCAAAACATACATTCTAATTCATTCAAAGATGATCATTCTACCCGTTTTACCATAATTAAAACAGATAATAATATGTGAGCATATAGGAGAAATATAGATACAATAATATACAACAGTAAAACAAAATAGGGTTATTCTATTTTATTTGGACCCTTTTTCTTTGTGCAATTAATGCAAATATGCTGAGAGATTATAAGGCAGTGTGAGAGTTGTTATAAAGAATCAATAGTTTTTTGTCAATGTTAGCCCAATATTTGAAATTTACCACTAATGGAGAGAAATTTCCTCTTATCTCTCCAAAGAATAAACATGATCACAAATAGTAAAGTGAAATGTTTATTTCATTCTTCTTGCAACAACATAACTTGGTTGAATATGGAGTTTGACAGCACCTATCCATGACAATGCAGATGTCGTTAAAGTGAATCACTGCCTAATAATGGACCCTGATTGCTTATAGCTATGTGCTGCAGACAGATAAGTTTCTCAACCAAGAGAGAGCTTTATTTATCTGAAAACGGTAAAGTTCAAGACAATATTACTGCCCGTATGTCTATCAGCATGCTGAAATCTTTAAGTCTTAAATGTATAGCTTGCTTTAAATATTAGGAAAATATTTAATGACTATCAGCACATTTCTCATGCTATTCATCTAGAGAAGACAAATATGTAACCGCCCAAAGAATAGTTTATTTGTCAAAGCAGATGCTCCTAAAATCCACTTTTTAGGACAGGAGTGGTCAACCTGTATGTAACATGTGCCACATGTGGCATGGGCAGCCACTTTGTAAGGCAGGTAGCAGATCAGGGCAGGGAGAAGAAAGCAGATCAGCAATTAAGCAGGTGAAAAGGATCAAAGTGACACATGGGTAGGCTACAGGGCTAACCTTGTGGCATGCCTGACAAGAAGATGGGCCCTCATCATCTAAGGATACCTGCTTGGAGTGAAAGCTCAGCTAATTTAAAGTCTTAATTGAGCTAAAGTGTTCATAGTAAGCAGGCCCATTTCAGGGTACATGAGCCCCTCTTGCAGAGAATTTTGTAGAAATAAAAGGTGCGTTTAAAGGTAATGAGAGATTTTCCCCACCTCAGAATGAATCATGGGTTTGGTACTTTTTAGTTCTGCTCTATACAATGAAATTGACTTTGCTATATAAACCTTTAGTGCTGCTATTACTGCACTTCTCCTTGTCTTATGGTAAAATGATAAAAATCCACTCAAGGCTTGTTTTAATGCTTAAGAATTTTATATGCATATTCCACCTCCGATTTTATTAAAGTGGATTCCAAGGTGGTTCAATGAAGAAACCACCTCTAATTTTCCTTTCCATAAAATAAATACATTTCTTCATTTCATTCTCCAGAACCAATAGCAGTGCTGATTTCCAAACTATTTAAAACACGATCCTGCTGAAAAGCTCCAAATAACCTTTGGAGGCCTATCTGGGGTTTGAAAGTAATAACACATTACCTGCATCAAGCAAGACAGTGATAATGGTCATTCAAGGCCATTAGTACATTGTTCTTACTTGAAGAACAGAAAGGAGTTCCTGACAAGAAAGCTAGGTAGGAAATGTCTTCCAATAGTCAAAGGTGAATTAGTTCCTATCTTTCTCACATATTTTTGCAGCTGGACATACTTTTTTCAGACAAATCATAGAATCAAAAGGCAACATGGGATCTCAAGAAGTCATTTATTCCAACTACCTGCTCAGAGCAAGAATATCTCTGACTAAATCACTGCAGTCAAATATTTGTCTAACCTGCACTTAAAAACCTTCAGTGACATAGATTCCATATCCCAAATTGGTTTCATTGCTTAACCACCACCATAGAAAGTTTTTTCAAATATGTAAGATAACTCCCCTTTGCTGTACTTTAATTCATTCTTGGCCCCTTGTGGACACGAGAGCAATTTATCACCATCCTAGCAACTTTTTTATATAATTGTTGCTATGAAGAGCCTCTTAACTAAACCCAGCAATCCTAATTTTTTCCAATATTTCCTCATATATCACTAATCTCTACCTCTTCTCAGATGTCAGATTTTAAAGGCTTCTAGACACCTAAAAATGCAGCTAGGCAATGAGTGGGATTTTTAAATCACTAATGGAATTTATATATTTAGGTTCTTTAACTTCAGAAGTCTCAGTACATTGAAGAAGCTGGTATAATGATTATACAGGAGAACAGGCTAACCATATGGCAAAGCTGAAAGATGAGCTTTGGTAGGCAGCTCTTTGGTCAGTCTGGGACCTGAGTAATAGTTTTAACTGTCTGTTCCTAGGTCTTTAATATATTGCTGTTCAGCTCAGATCTTCACTGGGCCAGGGGACTGCATGAGAGTCAGAAGTTCTGTGGATGAAATCCTATGGAAAAAAAGAAAAATAATTTCTCCTTTATACTTACAAAATTACCAAATGTGCCATCTTCTCCACCTTCTCCTACATCCCCATTTGCTATCTTCAGTAACAAGTTCATCAAGTTATCTGGGGACTTGCTGGGAAGCTAAGCATCCATTAGTTTGGAAATAATTCAGATTCTGTTCAGTCACAATGGGAGTAGGTCTCTGTAATAGTTGTATGTAAGAAGCAGATACTTTTCAAACCATGTAAGAAGAGAGCTTTTCATTTAGTTTCTGATTGAACAATAAGAAGCAGAAAACAAAAATAGGAATTCTTTCCCCTCTCCACCCCCCTCTCCGCCAATAGCTGCTTTGGTTTGTAGTCCATGCTTAATATGGACTCTAGACCATTTTGCCCTTAGTTGCACCAGTATTGCTCTCAAGTCCGTCCAGAAGCTCACTGATATAAATGAAGGTTCACTTAGCTCTCTTAATAGTCATTAAATTCAAGCACATACATGAATATATAACTTATGAATCCTTTTCCAAGAGCAGCATAATGGAGCAGCACTTTGCTAAGCTGTACTGATAAGGGAAAGCAGGAGAGCAATTAGTGAAATTTATAAATAACCAAGAGGGGATAATGAAGATGATGTCATGCTCAGCAAAGAGTCATGCCACATCAACTTCTGGTCCTGTCCCAAGCACTTGGCAACATTCTGAGCCACAGGAGGCCACTTGTGATTAGCTCTGAGCTACATACTTATCCTAACTCTCATTCCTGCTGAGTCTGGAGCTGCTCCTCTGTTGTTTGGGAATAAGAAGCCAGGCTGTCACTATACCTGCAGGCTGGGGGAGGGAAAAATAAGTCAGACATTGTTTTTAAACAAGCTTGGGAGGCTGCTAAAAGGCAACCCTCCTTTGTTTCAGCAGTGGCTTCGAGGAAATTAAGCAGCAGCCTCTTCATTGCCTTGTGGAACTAAGTCCAGCTATTAAAGACATCCAGCATCTATGCCTTGATGTGTGGGGAAGAGACTATCGCTCAAACAAATTGAAACTGTAATAGAATGGAAATAGATTGCAGCTCATGCCAATCCTCTCTCTTCAGCTAGGCACCCAAGGGCTGCAAATGTATTGTAAGGGCACAGCTGACCTGAGTGCAAGACTATTAGAGCATCGTAGGTTGGTTTGCCTCCCCTTAGAGACAGCACCGAAGCAGAGGACAGCAAAGATGTGGCCTAGCTAAACTCCTATCCAGACAGGCACAAGACTTTTTTCTTTTATTTTTACTTTCTTAACTACATCATGGAAGCTATAGGAGGAGGAGATAGGACTAGTTCCCAAGTTGCCAACACAAGGAAAGTGGCAACAGAAAAAAGGGAACTTGCCTAACAATCCCATCCCTCTTCCAAAACCTTAATGAATGCCAGCACATGGTAGGTGGGGGAGGTAGAGCAGGGGGTGGGGGGATTTAGAAAATCCCTATCCTGTCTTTCTCTAGTAACTTTTAGATAATTCACTATCACCACCTTTATGCCTTGTGGGACTAACCCCTGCTTCCATGGGGTGATTAGTTCTCCATAGAAAGTTGGACAACAAATTGTAGAGGAAGAAGACCTAGAAACTAAATAAGAATTACAGCTAGAAGGGTGAAGTCAGGTATAGATAAAATGACCTTGTAAAAGGTATTACCCATGCTGAGGACGTACAAGAATCAGTTCCATTTTAGTGGTTATGACATGGCTGCATGTGGTGAAAGATACATGAAGATGTGTCATCTGCATATTGTTGCTATGTGAGGCTTTTTTGTCTGACCAGGTCACCTGTGGGCCCTTGCAGTTACCTCTGTCCCAGCTGCATGGCAGGAAAGGCCCTGGGGTGGCGGGGAGCATGAGTTGCCAGAGCTGTCCATGTGGCAGGGTGCGGGGGGCATAGTAGGAAGACTGTGCGCTGTTGGCACTGCACAGTGGTGGGGAGCATCCTGGGGATCCACCCCTGCACTGTATGGCTGGCATGGTATGTAGCCCTGGAGTGGCATACTAATGTGACATGTAGTCTCCAGATGCATGAAAGTTTATGGCCCTGATCTGCTAGATGCCTGTAGAAGTTTAATAGGACTACAGGGAGAATTGGTGTTTTGGGAACCCCACAAATGATTGTGATGGTTAAG